CGATACTGAGGCTGGAGAGGGGCCTGGGGAAGGTGGCCAGGATGGGTTGGGAGAAGCAGGACTGCTTTGCCATGACAGCCGGCTGGAAGTTGCCCAGCAACACTTCTCTGTTGCCAGCCTTCGAGCATCCGGATTGGCTGGGCAGCCACCCTTCAACACGCATTCGTTGACACACATTAACCAAGGCTCCCGGCAGGCAGGACCTGGAAGCACTTCCTACCTGGTGGCTCTCCAGTGGGCCTGCTCTCATCTCCCCCGACCCCTCCACCACTCTGCTCCCTCACCTACTTGCTCCCCGAGCCTTCATTCTCTCAAGTGCACCCTCCTGTCTTCAGTATCTCTTTTGAGTTTTTTAGTTGTTTTTATTAAGGGCAGAGAGAGAGAGCCACTCTTCTGTATTTTTTTTCTCAGTTATTATCAAAAGCATCCCATGCTTGTTCTAGATAATTTGGAAAGGACAGAAAAGTGAAAACAGAAGAAACGTCGCTCATAGCTCCCCCTTTGCAGGGGAAATCTTTGCTAACATTTTGCCCTGTATCATTCTGGTCTTATGTTCGTTTTCATTGTGGTTTTTAAAAGTTATCACTACATCTTGCTGTGGGTTTCAGATGTGGGCTCTTGGGCCTAGCCCACGACTCACTTGCGCTGGGGCTCTGCAGCTTCCTTTGGCTTCTCGCTATCTCCTGCTCCTTCTCTCTGGTTTTTGTGTGTGTGTTTGCGTTTAATCTTTTTGCCCCACGTCCTCCTTGTCCTTTCTCCTGTATTCTCTCTTCAGGGGCCCCAGGCCTGGGCCTTTCCCCACAGGAGCCCTAGTCACCCGCTGCGCTTGGCAGGAAGGGCAAAGCCTGCACGCCCTGTGTACCCCGGCTGGACTCTGGGTGTACCTGCCCCATTAGGTGCGATTTGGCATTTCTCTGGGTCTCTGTAACTGCTTCGTCACTGCTGTGTTCAGGTGGCTCCCTGTCCGCTGGAGAGGGTCACCTATGCTGGCTCTTGGAGAAGTCTGGAAGCTTGCTCTTCTGCAGTTTACCCGGGGGGGTCCTCTGTTTAGCCACTGCCCCTCCTTCTTCTTTCGCACAGCATCCGGCTGTGTCACTGCAGGGGGGCAGGGCAGGCTTCCTGGGGGCCTCCAAGGGGGCTTCCCTGGGGAATGCTGGGTATTAGCCATCCCTGTCTTCCCAGTAGGCCTTTCAAATGATTTTTTTCTCTCCCTACCTCAAAAGCGGCTAAAGAATTATACTCTGTGGTGTTTTCTTTTTGTATTTTACATTTTTTCCACTCAGGCAAGCCTGTCGGGGTCTCATTTCGCCACCTTGGCTGATGAGCGAGATAATCCCAAAGACACCTTCAGGGGCTGGAACAGGGGGGTTCATGCCCGCTGCTGGGAGTATGCTGATTTAGATCCTGAGTGACCCCACCTTTGTTATACCCCTTCCCCTTGTCTCACAGCAACCCAGTGAGGCAGACCAGGCCAGGCAGGGCTCCCCACAGATGAACTCCCGCCCAAGGGTCTAGCAAAACAAATGGGCAGGCTGTGGAACGAGGCGGCAGCACAAACCAGCATCCACATCTGCTGATTCCTGATCTCCCCGCATCCACCCCGTGGTGTTCACGGAGACCCTCAGCTTCATTTGGGCTGGTAGTTTTGGGGTCTGTGGTTGTCTAGCATCCTTGTGTGATATAAAGCAAAGAGCTCTGGGATTGAGTCCTGGCTCCCTCCTGGTGTGACCTGGGTTCTCTCAGGTGTAAAATGTTAACAATGATAATAGTAGCGCCAGCCCTCCCTTTCCTCAGAGGGTTGCTGTGAGGATCAGATGAGAAAATGTCTCCTAAAGGGCTTCGTAAGTTGTGAGGCACATTTACACGCTGAGGTCGTCTGATCAGTTTAATCACTTCTCCTGGGTGACCGTCCCCATTTCTGGGGGTGGGAGAATGGGGCAGAGAAACCCACTTGGATGTGCAGTGATGGTTCCCCTCTGCAGTCACCTGTGCTGAAGCTCCTCACGCTCCCTCAGACCTGGGCACCCCTGGAGTCATGGGCCCTTACCCTACCAACAAGGAAACAGAAACTTGCCCGGGAACATACAGGGAATGCATGGCAGGGCCAGATTAGACCCCAAGTCTCTCTAGGTCTTTGAAGTGTCTGGAGGCTCCCTACCCCCTCTTTGCTAGAGCTGGCCTGTTCTGTGCGGAGGGCAGGGGAGTCCACATCTCTCCAATCAATGTCCAGGATCTGCTCTGTGCCCACCCCTGGGGGTCACAGCCCTGCTTCCACACAGGACCCCTCTTGCTCACCAACTCTGCTCAGCCCCCCTGTTTCTCCTCAGCCACCCTTACCCCCACTCCCCACCCCCCACCAAGGGACAAGCTGCTCTGATCACAGCTGCCTCCTTTCCCACAGCATCAGCCCCAGCCCACCCTCTGACTAATGGTTTACATGAATCAAATGAGAGGCTGAACCTATCAGTCGGCTCATTAGGCCCAGAGTCAGCTCTTATTCAGCTCGCAGGGCCCAGGCAGAGGAGCTGAAGCATTTTTCCTGCACCATGAATGGGCTTCGTGCCCCTGTGATGCCTACACCTCCTCCCTTCTGCCCGGTGGTTGTCTCAGAGGAGCCTCCTCAGAGCTCTTCCTGACCTAACACTCCCGAGGCCCATCCTTTGGGGATGTCTGCCTCCTGGCATCCTGCCCAGGCCCATGCCCTCCTGCCCAGGTGGACGTGCGTTCCTGCCCTCCATGTGACTTGGCCTGGGCTGGGTTGTACCGGGTGGGTGGGGGTTGGGCACACGCAGCCTGTCTAGGCTGACCTAGGCTGGCTCTGCTGAGGGACCCTGGTCAGCCCCCAGCTCCAGGGACTTCACTCCCAGTGGCTTCTTGGATGTCTCCAAGAGTCAGCATTTCCCACCTGCTCCAGACTACCCCCAGGAGAACCATGAAACAAGCTGCTGTCCCCACGGCCATTGGACACCTTCCTCTTTGGCGTCCCCACCTCTCCAGACCCAGCCACCATAGCTGCACTCACCTCCCTGCCTTACCTCAAAGCTCAGCTCTCCTGCCTATGTCCCTTTCTCCTCCCCAGGCTCCCCCATCCCCGCCAATGTGGCAGTGCTTACACAGGGGTTGTTTTTTAATTCATTCACCCAGTATACACCATTGTTGTGGAGATGACTCCCACTCATAGCGACCCTATAGGACAGAGTAGAACTTCCACATAGGGTTTCCAGGCTGTAATCTTTCTGGAAGCAGACTGCAACTTCTTTCTCCCATGGAGCGGCTAGTGAGTTCAAACTGTTGACCTCTCGGTTAGCAACCGAGCACTTAACCACTGCACCACCAGGGCTCTTCATTCACCCAGTCAACCAATATAAACTGGAAAACTGACCGTGCTTCAGATATTGCATTAAGCACTTATGAAGCACCTGGGCTCTGCAGGCTGACTACCTGGGTTCAAAATCTGGCTCTACCAGTTCTTAGCAAGAGATCTTGGGAAAATTATTTAACATCTTTAAGCCTCAGCTTCCTCATCTGTAATAAGGGAACAATCATAGTACCTAATTCATAAGGATATTGTGAAGATTAAGTGAAATAACGCACACAAAGAACTTAAAAATGTGTCTGGAATGTAAAAGATAATACTCCTCGTTCTACCACTATTAGCCATCGTCATTATTAAGCAGTGGGGATATAAAACACAGTCCATGCCCTCAGGGCCTCCCAGTTCAGAGCACCATTAGAGTATTTATAATGTCAAAGTATGAAGAGGCTAATAGGGAATGCAGAAGAGGGAGCCCCTAAACGCCTGGTGTGGAAGAGGGAGCGTGTCAGGAAGACTTCCCGGAGGAGTGGTGCTTGAGCCTGGATACTGGAGAAAGTAGACAAGTGAGAGACCATTTCAGAAGGAGGGAGATCAACATGCCTGAAAGCACAGAGGTGTGGGAGAGCAGAGAACCTGGAGTTCCAGCTGTAGGTGGGGAGTGGCAGACTCTAAGGACTTTGAGGGTGGTGTTGAGGAGTTTGGACACATTACCACATTACCACTGTTGGGTCTTAAGCAGGCATTTGGCACTTCAGGTTGACACTTCCAAAAAGTCCCTTTGGTGACCCATCTGGAGAAAGGATGATTGGGTTACTGGTTAGGAGTAGTTGTCCAGGCAAGGCAAGGGCTTCAAGGAAGGCAGAGCCGAGGAGCAAGGAGAGGAATGACAAGCTTTTAGGAGTGAGTCAGGAGTCAGACTGGACGGGGCTGGACAACTGATGGTTAGGGGAGATCAGGAAGATGGAGAAGTAGGAGGCAGCAGCCAGGTTTCTCCTGGAGTGACTGTGTGGACACCAAGACCAGCACCGCAGGAGAAAGGGCAGGAGAGGAGAGGGAGAGAGGAGGAGTTCTATTTCGGCATGTTGGGGTTACAGTGTCCACGCAGTGGAGTTGTCCAGAAGGTGATGCCTACATCTCTGAGGAGGCGCGGAGGAAGATCTGGGCATTCCCACAGTTCAGGGGAGTCACCAGTGTCAAGTGGGAGGTGAAGTCAGGTGGGGGTGTGTAGAGTGAGGAGGCCCCGGTATGAGTCCCTGGGAGGCACCAGCATGAGTGGGAAGAGAGGACTGAGAAGAACACGCAGAGTGGACGGGGAGGTAGGAGGACAACGGAGAGAGAGAAAGAGAGAGAGAAGTCACTTAAGCCCAGGAGGAGAGCATTTGTCAGAGGAAGCAGCCAAGGCAGTGGAAGCCCAGCAAGATAAGAACAAAGAGAGTGCCTGGTGTCTAGCTTTCAGAAGTGGTAGGTGAGAGTGGTTTCTGGGGCAGCGTAGGGACAGAAGCCAGATTGCAGTGCTGTGAGGAGCGGGTGAGAGACAAAGCAGTGGACAAGGGGTTTGGCTGAGAGATGGAGATGAGAGAAATGGCAGGAGCTAGAAGAGGACAGAGGGTTGAGGGAGGTTTGTTGGTGGGTGTGGGTATGTTGAGACAGTGAATTGTATATGTGCATGACATCAAGGACATCAGACATGAAGAAAGCAAAAGGTCATTAAAAAGACAGGAAAGAAAGAAAAGACCAAAATGGATGTCAGAAGAGACTCTGAAACTTGCTGTTGAATGTAGTGTCTTAGTCACTTAGTGCTGCTGTAACAGAAATAGCACAAATGGATGACTTTAACAAACATAAATTTATTCTCTCATAGTTTAGGAGGCTAGAAGTCCAAAATCAGGGCACCAGCTCCAGGGGAAGGCTTTCTCTCTCTGTCGGCTCTGGGAGAAGTTACCCGGGTGGTACAAGAGGTTATTGCACTTGGCTGCTAACTGAAAGGTTGGAGGTTGGAGCCCACCCAGAGACACTTCAGAAGAAAGGCCCAGCAGTCTATTTGTGAAAAATCAGCCACTGAAAACCATATGGAGCACAGTTGTACTCTGACACACACGGGGTTGCCGTGAGTTGGAATCAACTTGACGGCAACTAGTGGTAACTGGTATGTATACACTATAAGAGCTGATTAGAGAGACAGAGAGTTGAAAATACAGGAGGGAGGACAGATGCTGGTGACTGAGTTTCCTGAGGGGAGAGGAGAGGAGACCCAGAAAGCTGAGGGATACAGCGAGAAGTGTCCCACAGGAGGGAAAGGCAGAGTGTGAGTGTGAGTGGGTGCAGGTGGCTTACTTCAGAGTGCCCACCCATGCCTTCCGGAGCGCTTTCCACCCTCCTGCCTCTCAGCTCTCCCATCCGTGCTTTTCTTCCTACAGGTCACTCCAAGGATTTTGTTTTCCTTACTAGGATGAAGGTCCTTGCTGACTGGCATTCCCATCCCCTCACCCATGTCCAAAACCCCTCCATGAATCTTCTCAGGTTTTCTTCCTCTACTGCTGTTATTTGAGATTCACCTTGGATCTGGCAGATCCCATCTAAGACAAGGCTGCCAGCAAAAAATAAAATCATACCAAGGCTGAACCAGAACGGGTTCTGTTTGCATTTAATGTCCAGAAAGTGACTCTTCAGGATAAAAGACAGGGCTCTGGTGCAGAGGCTGTCTAAGTTGTGAACTGTAGTCTTGGACCTCGATTCCCCTTTCTGCAAGGATGCCGCCCTCTCCGTCCCCATGGCTGTCCCATCTGGTTCTTCCACTTGGCTCCCCACCACTGCACAGTACCTGCCAGGGAATGCCCCATTGCCCAAGATCTATCCAAGGCCCACATGGCCCAGGGCCCCGACAGTTGATTGGACTCCACACCTCCTCTCAGCCAAGCAATGCCGCCAAGAAAAACCTGAGGGCAAGTCAGAAAACCAGTTCTGATTTGCCCAGTGAGCAGGTGGAAGCAGCTGGCCCCACCTTCAGTGTTTCCCAGAGTCTACAGGATGGAGGGGGAAGCAGAGATTCCAGCACCAGTTTCCTGAAGCTTCAGTCCACTCAGCCATTCTGTGGGGAGCAGACTGGGAGCCAGAGGCAGCCGCCATGGCACAAGGTAAGGAAGACTGCTGGAGAGCAGAGATGAGGAGGACAGAGAGAGACTGAGGGAAGTCAAGGAGGTGGATTCAGAGGAACAGAGGAGTAAATAAAGAGCTGAGGCAGGAAGAGTAGAAACCCCAGAAACGTCAGAAGTAGAGGTGGGCTAAGAATCAGGAGACAAAGCGGAGGCCGGCAGGTGAACACAGCCGAACAGCCTCATGCCAAGATGTCTGCTTCCACCGGTGGTGGGATGGGCCAGGACCAGGGATTAGACATCAGGGCTCCTGTCCTTCTCTGCCACCAGCTGACCCTTTGACACTGAGCAAGTCACTTCCCCTCTGGTTGCCACTCAGTCCCCCTGAAAAATGAGGGAGTTTGGATAAGACAGTCTTAAAGTTGTATTCCAGCTCTAAAAGTCTCTGAACTTTCATATCTCTCGTTTTTGACTCACTTCAGAGGATCTGTTACCCATTTTAGTTAATCTTTTCACCACCCCTCTTCCCTCTCCCTCATCACCCTCTCTTTAGAAAGCCTGCTTTGAAGATTAAATGGTTAATCGAGACCATTTAGAGGAAGATACTTTTAACTTGCTCTAAGGGTGTCATTTACTCTTATTGTTACAGCCTCACTTTCATTTACTATTTTTTGTGTTTAAAATTTTATTTTTAAATTTTTATGATTTTTAATTATACAAGAAATATGTGAATACATAGTTGGTATAAAATAAATAAAAAAAAAAAGCGACAGTCCCGTGATTGCCACCAACAACCCCAGCCTCATCGCCACTGTTACCAGTCTCTTGTTTACACATTTACATTCATATATGTATTCAATGTAGTACGTAGGATTTGATTGTGTGGTGTGTGTATATATATATATATCTCAATGGTATCATCATATTGTACGTATTTTTCTACAACTTGATTTTTTTCACTCAATATATGTCTTGGAGCTATATCTATGCCAATCAGTACCTATAGATCTACCTCAATGTTTTCACCTTGCTTAGTATTTCCATAGTATGAATGTAGGTAATTGGCTTATCCAATCGCCTGTTGATGGGAATATAAGTTGTTTCCAATTTTTCAGTTATTCAAGCAATGTTGTCACAAACATCCTTATCCATGCCTCTTTGAGCTCACATGGAAGTACCACTCTAGGATAGATACCAAGATCACTCACTGCAAAAATTCTTCCTATAGTCTCCTACAAGACCAATGACTTAATTCTTTGCAAATATCTTTTTTCAACAACATGAATGACAACTATACATATAGACCTCACCGGATGGAATATACGGGAATCAAATCAACTATATCTGTGGAAAGAGACAATGGAGAAGCTCAATATCATCAGTCAGAACAAGGCCAGGGGCTGACTCTGGAACAGATCATCAATGGCTCATATGCAAGTTCAAGTTGATGCTGAACAAAATTAAAACAAGATCACCAGAGCCAAAGTACAACCTTGAGTATATCTTACTTGAATTTAGAGACCATCTCAAGAATATATTTAACGCATTGAACACTAATGACTGGACACCAGATGGGTTGTAAGATGACATCAAGGACATCATACATGAAGAAAGCAAAAGGTCATTAAAAAGACAGGAAAGAAAGAAAAGATCAAAATGGATGTCAGAAGAGACTCTGAAACTTGCTGTTGAATGTAGTGTCTTAGTCACTTAGTGCTGCTGTAACAGAAATAGCACAAGTGGATGACTTTAACAAACATAAATTTATTCTCTCATAGTTTAGGAGGCTAGAAGTCCGAAATCAGGGCACCAGCTCCAGGGGAAGGCTTTCTTTCTCTGTCGGCTCTGGGGGAAGGTACTTGTCATTAATCTTTCCGTGGTCTAGCAGCTTCTTGGCGCAGGGACCATGGCTCTTCTTGTTTGGTGGTAATGAGGTCCCTCTCCTCTCTGCTCACTTCTCTCTTTTATATCTCAAAAGAGATTGACTCAAGATACAACCTAGCAAAGCATCTCACAACATGGATGAATCTGGAGGGCATTATGCTGAGTGAAATAAGTCAGCCACAAAAGGACAAATATTGTATGAGATCACTACTATAAAAACTCACAACAAGGTTTACACACAAAAAGAAACAATCTTTGATGGTTACAAGGGAGGGGAGGAGTGGGGATGGAAAAACACTAAATAGACAATGGGTAAATGGTAACTTTGGTGAAGGGTAAGACAGTACACAATACTGGGGAAATCAGCACAACTCGTATAAGGCAAAGTCATGTAAGCTTCCTAGACACATCCAAACTCCCTGAGGGACTGAATTACTGGGCTGGGGGCTGTGGGTACCATGGTCTCAGGGAACATCTAGCTCAATTGGTAGACATAGTTTATAAAGAAAATGTTCTACATTCTACTTTGGTGAGTAGCGTCTGGGGTCTTAAAAGCCTGTGAGCAGCCATCTAAGGTACTCTACTGGTCTCACCCCTTCGGGAGCAAGGGAGAATGAAGAGAACAGGATAGACGGAAAAGATTAGTCCAAAGGACTAATGGACCACAGCTACCAAAGCCTCCACCAGACTGAGTCCAGTACAGCTAGATGGTGCCCGGCTACCACCACTGACTGCTCTAACTGGGATCACAACACAGGGTCCTGGACAGAGCTGGAGAAGGATGTAGAACAAAATTCTAACCCACAAAAAAAGACCAGATTTACTGGCCTGACAGAGACTGGAGAAACCCCAAGAATATGGCCTCCGGACACCATTTTAGCTCAGTAATGAAGTCACTCCTGAGGTTCACCCTTCAGCCAAAGATTAGACGGGCCCACAAAACAAAATGAGATTAAAGGGGCACAACAGCCCAGGGACAAGGACTAGAAGGCAGGAAGGGACAGGAAAGCTGGTGATTGAGAACCCAAGTTCGAGAATGGAGAGTGTTGACACATCATGGGGTTGGTAACCAATGTCACAAAACTATATGTGTACTAACTGTTTAATGAGAAGCTAGTTTGCTCTGTAAACCGTCATCTGAAGTACAATAATAAAAAATTTAAAAAAGAAAACAGAAAAAAAAAGAAATTGCCATAGCCACCCCAACCTTTAGCCGCCACCACCCTGATCAGTCAGCAGCCATCAACATCGAGGCAAGACCCTCCACTAGCAAATAGATTACAGCTTGCTGAAGGCTCAGATGATGGTTAGCATCGTTTAGCAATAAAGTATTTTTTAATTTAAAAAAAAAGATACAACCTAATCCAGTAGATTTTGTCCTGCCTCATTAACGTAAGTGCCTCTAATCTTGCTTCAGTGACATCATAAAAAATACCAAACCCATTGCCTTTGAGTTGATTCTGATTCATAACAACCCTATAGGAAAGAATAGAACTGCCCCATAGTGTTTCCAAGGAGCAGCTGGTGGATTCCAACTGCTGACCTTTCGGTTAGCAGCTGAAAGCTTAAACACTGTGCCACCAGGGCTCCATTAACAACATAGAGGTTAGAATTTACAACACATGACATAATTACATCAGATCACAAGATGGAGGACAACCACACAATATTGGGAATGATGGCCTTTGACACATATTTTGGGGGGACCCAAGTGACAAGTAGCTAAAGCAAATGGAAGAAATATGAAGTAAAAGAGTTGAATTGAAGATTTCAAAGGGCAGCTCGAGAAGATAACGTGTTGTAATGAAATGTGCAAAGACTGGAGTTAGAAAAACAAAAGGGAAGAACACACTTGGCATTTCTCAAGCTGAAAGAACTGAAGAAAAAATTCAAGTCTCAAGTTGCGGTTTTTAAGAATTCTATGGGCAAAATATTGAATGACACAAGAAGCATCAAAAGAAGATGGAAGGAATACACAGAGTCACTATACCAAAAAGAATTGGCCGATGTTCAACCATTTCAGGAGGTAGCATATGATCAAGAACCAGTGCTATTGAAGGAAGAAGTCCAAGATGCACTGAAGGAATTGGCAAAAAACAAGGCTGCAGGAATTGACGGAATACCAACTGAGATGTTTCAGCAAACGAATACAACACTGGAAGTGCTTACTTCTCTATGCCAAGAAATTTGGAAGACAGCTATCTGGCCAACCGAGTGGAAGAGATCCATACTTGTGCCCATTCCAAAGAAAGGTGACCCAACAGAATGTGGAAATTGTCAAACAATATCATTAATATCATACGTAAGTAAAATTTTGCTAAAGACTAGTTCAGTACATCAACAGAGAAAAACCAGGAATTTATGCCAAATTCAGAAGAAGATGTGGAACAAGGGATATCTCTGCTGATGTCAGATAGATCTTGGCTGAAAGTAGAGAATACCAGAAAGAAGTTTACCTGTGTTTTATTGACTATGTAAAGGCATTTGACTGTGTAGACCATAACAAATTATGGATAACATTGCAAAGAATGGGAATTCTGGGAATTCCAGAACACTTAATTGTGTTCATGAGGAAACTGTATATAAAACAAGAGGCAGTTGTTTGAACGGAATAAGGGGATAATGTGTGGTTTAAAATCAGGAAAGGTGTGCATCAGGGCTGTATCCTTTCACCATACTTATTCAATCTGTATGCTAAGCAAATAATCCTGGAAGTTGAACAGTATGAAGAAGAACACAGCATCAGGTTTGGAGGAAGACTCATTAAGAACCTGCGATATGCAAATGATACAACCTTGCTTGTTGAAAGCAAAGAGAACTTGAATGAAGCACTTACTGATGAAGATAAAAGACTACAGCTTCCAGTACGGATTACGCCTCAACATAAAGAACGCAAAAATCCTCACAACTGGACCAATAAGCAACATAATCAGAAACAGAGAAAATATTGAAGCTGTTAAGGATTTCCTTTTACTTGAATCCACAATCAATGTCCATGGAAGCAGCAGTCAAGACATCAAACGATGCACTGTATTGGGCAATTCTGCTGCAAAAGACCTCTTTAAAGTGTTAAAAAAGCAAAGATGTCACTTCCAGGACTAAGGTGCGCCTGACCCAAGCCATGGTATTTTCAATCACCTCATATACGTTCGAAAGCTGGACAATGAATAAGGAAGGTCAAAGAAGAATTGCTGCATTTAATTATGGTGAAGAATATTAAATATATTACAGCCTACCAAAAGAATGAACAAATCTGTCTTGGAAGTACAGCCAGAATGCTCCTTAGAAGCAAAGATAATGAGACATATAATCAGGAGGGACCAGTCCCTGGAGAAGAACATCATGCTTGGTAAAGTAGAGGGTCAGTGAAAAAGAGGAAGACCCTCAATGAGATGGATTGACACGGGGGCTGCAAGAATGGGCTCAAACATAACAATTGTGAGGATGGTGCAGGACCAGGCAGTGTTTTGTTCTGTTGTACATAGGGTTGCTGTGAGTTGGAACTGACTTGACAGCACCTAACAACATAGTCTCCTTTCTAACTCCAAAACAGTATACCCCATTCTCCCCTGGCATCAAGGAGCATAAATACCCCCAATATTAAACATGTACCTCTTATTTGGATATCTGGTGTCTTGGGTGAAAGATAATTCCTGTATTATAGACGGAGATGAACTTGACCTCGTGATATATCCAGAGGATGAGACTTAGCCCCAGTGGTCAAATCAGAGGTCTGTCAGGCAGATGTTGCCACACTGTTGGGTAGTCTGGGTCATGTGTTCTGACCAGAATCGGACCAGTTTAGTGGTCCCTCTAGTCTATTGGTCTCCAAGAAGAGCTTCTTTCTCTATTACCAGGAAAAAGTCAACTGCTTTCCCAACCAACAGTGGGTCAGTTTGTCCTTTCTGACCATGAAAGAAGGCCTGCAATGGGTGGTAGCTATTGAGTAATGGAAAGAGCACAGGACTTGAGTCAGGAAGCCTGGGTTTGACCTTAAGCAAGACATTTAATCTACCAGAACTTTGGTTTTCTCATTCCCAAGTGTGGGTGATATGACCTTTCCTCCCTCCAAGGTTCTGGTAAGGATTAAATGGATAATGTCATCTTCTTTCATTTATTTCAGTGATGTTTTGTGGTTTTCAGTGTGTAAGTCTTGCACTTCCTTTAAGATTATTCCTATGTATTTTATTCTTTTTGATGCTGTTGTAAATGGAATTTTTTTTTAAATTTCGTTTTCAGATTGTTCATTCCAAGTGTGTAGAAATACAACTGATTTTTATATACTGATCTTGTATCCTGCAACCTTGCTGAACTCATTTATTAGTTCTAATACTTTTGTGTGTGTGTGTGTGTGTATTCCTTAGAATTTTTTAGCTACAAGATCATGTTATCTGTGACTAGAGATTGTTTTACTTCTTTCTTTCTAATTTGGATGCCTTTTATTTCTTTTTCTTGTGACACTGTACTGGCTAGAACTTCCAGTACAATATTGTGTAGAAGTGGTGAGAGTGAGCATCCTTGTCTTGTTCCTGATGTTAGAGGGAAAGCATCCACCCTCTCACCATTAAGTATGATGTAAGCTGTGGCTTTTTCTTAGATGCCCTTTTTTAGGCTGAGGAAGTTCCCTTCTATTCTTAGCTTGTTTAGTGTTTTTATCACAAAAAGATGTTGGATTTTGTCAAATGCTTTGGTTCGTATTCTAAATACAGCCAAGATAAAGCCGCTAGGTCTCTGTCTTCATTGGTTTACATCTAGTGGTAGAAGACAGACAAAGAAAAAAGTAACTAAGAAAAATATCTGAGCCCCTCATGCTGAGCCTGCAACTAGCAGGCTTTCAGTAAAAGTGTGTTGATATAAATGAACAAATGAGCATGACATGTAAATCAACTTGTCAATTAAGTGGTCAAATTTACCTAAGAGTGGTGCAGCTTAGTGCCATGGACCAGTGGGAGATGGGAAGTGCGGACCAGTTGGGGCAGGCTTCATGAAGGAGGTGGGTCTTGAATAGGCCTTGAAGGACAGGTGGAATTTGGTTAGATAGTGGAAGGGTATTCTTAGTTGGGGCTACAGCAGGAACAAAATATACAGACAGATAAGGGTGCCATTTTGTTCAGGGATAGATTGGCTGGAGAAGAGGGCCCATGATGGGAGTCATGGGAAATGAGAATGCAAGAGTAATTAAGGCTAGGTATGAAGAGCGTAAGTGTCGGGTTAAGAAGTGTGCCTTTTATACTGTGGGCTGTAGGTTTTCTCTAAACTTTGAAAGCGAAAGGATGATTTGATCAAATTGTCTTGAGGAAAGATAATCTGGTGATGTGTTAATGGATGGCATGGTGTGGAGAGAGACAGGAGGCAGCAGATCTGATGGAGGCTGTTACAGTCACTAGATATGAGGTGAGGAGGTTGGAATCATGCTGGGCATGAAAAGGGATGGCTGGACACCAGAGATGTTTCAATCGAAGGAATGAAGGGACTTGGTGACACATGAATGGATATAGGCTGAGAAGGAGATGGGTGAGCCAATTGTGACTCAAAGGTATGAGCCCAAGTACCTGGGGACCATCACAGGGCCATGGTAAAATAGAGAAGTTCGGAATGGAGCTCTTTTGGGGGAGGCTCACTGGGGGAACAATGAATCAGTTTGTGTTTCAGCAGAAGTTCTAGAAGGCTGGAAATGGGACTTTCTTTGACCGTCCTCAGTATCCAAGCTCCCAGGGCATAGGGCACATGACATTAGCGGTGATCAGAGAGCCTGCTAACTGCTAAAAGAAGGGAAGCTAACTCAGAGACAGCTAACCCAGGGACATCTCACCCAGGGGCAGCTAACATGGACATCTAACCCAGGGCTATCTAACTCAGGGACAGATAACCTAGAGACAGTCAACCAAGGGGTAGCTAACCCAGGGACAACTAACCCAGAGACAGTTAACCCAAGGGCAGCTAACCCAGCAACAGCTAACTCAGGGACTTGCTCCCATGTCTGGAGGCTGGAATGGGACAAATGGGACTGTTAACTTCAGTCCAAAAAAGCAGATGGCCAGGGTGAATCTGGAGACATGCTGGACTGAAGGGAGTAAACAAACCTCACCAGCCTGCAGAGGAGTCGGACAGAGGCAGGAAGCCATACACCTCAGGGAAGGCATCAGGGAGAGGGGATGGAGGGTTGGAAAAGCAGGGAGTCACTTTTTCAAGTTTGCGTGGTTAATAAGGGATGGACAGGATTGGACTGACTCCACAACCCTGCTGTTTTATCTGTCCTGGGCTGCCCCAACTCAGGGCTGGAGGTGGCCGTCACGGACTTCCAAACCTCCTGGAACAACCTGCAGCACCACACTGAGGAGATCAGCTCTGACCGCCTCCTTGTTCGCCGGGGCCAGGCCTTCAACATCACGTTGTACTTCATAAACCGGGGCTTCCAGCCAGGCCTGGACAACATCATCTTTGTGGCTGACACTGGTGAGGATGCCAGCTAGCTCACAGGCTGTGTGTGTGTGTTGGGGGTGTAGTGGGTGCCTGGGGACTCAGAGGTCACCACAGAGGGCCTCAGCTCCTCTTCTCTCCAGGCCCTCTGCCGGACCTGACCAAGGGGACTCGCTCAGTGTTCAGCCTGGCAGGTCGTGGTGGCCCCAGCCCCTGGATTGCATCGCTGAAGGCCAACGGGGCTACCTCCCTGGAGGTGAGCCTCTGCGCCCCTCCAACGGCACCTGTGGGCCGGTACCTCCTGAAGATTCACATTGACTCCTTCCAGGGGTCTGTCACAGCCTATCAGATTGGGGAGTTCATCCTGCTCTTCAATCCCTGGTGCCCAGGTAAGGCAGGGCACCTGTGGCGGTGGGGTGTCCCTCTGTCTCTGCCTGTCAGTACTGCCAGAGAGACCTGAACTCAATGATTTCTAGACCTCTGTTCCCTGGCCACCCACAAACCTCCCCCTAATCGCATGGACTCAGCAAACATCCCCAACCACCAACAACCAGGGCAGGGAGACCTTGCTATCTAGTCATTTTTTAGAATTTAAAATTACGAACCAAGTCATGTTTATTTAAAAGGAAAACTATTACATTTAAGCTGACCACCGTTACCATTGATCTTCATCGTATATATTTTAAAGTAACTTGAGTTTTTTCATTATAAAAGTGATATATGCACAACGTGTTGCATTGAATATTTGTTGAATGACTAGATAAATAAACGAAAGACACAATAAAAAAATAGAAAGGTATAAGGTAAAAAATAAAATCTTCTTTCTATCTCCTAGTTCTGTTCTCAGAGGACACCAGGATTAAATTTTTCTGATGTAGGCTTACAAAAATTTTCTATGCTTAATCAAATGTCATATATGAGATTCTATAATACATATCTTTTTTATTTTATTTATTGTGTTTTAGGTGAAAGTTGACAGTGCATATTAGTTTTTCATTCAAAAATTCTATACACAAAATATTTTATTTTGTTTTATGACTTTAGTTGCAATCCCTGCGATATGTCAGCACTCTCCCCCTTTCCCTTTCCACCCTGGGTTCTCAGTGTCCATTCAACCAATTTTCCTGTCCCTTCCAGCCTTTTCGTCTTTGCTTTTGGGCAGGTGTTGCCTGTTTGGCCTCGTATACTTGACTGAGCTAAGAAGTACGTTCCTCACATGTGTTATTGTTTGTTTTATAGGACAGTCTAATCTGACTGGAAGGTGGACTTTGGAAGTGGCTTCAGTTCTGAGTTAGCAGGGTATCCGGGGGCTGAGACTAAGTCTGGTCTTTTTTTGTGAATTTGAATTTTGTTCTACATTTTTTTCCCGCTCTGCCCTGGACCCTCTATTGTGGCCTCTGTCAGAGCCGTTGGTGGTGGTAGCCGAGCACCATCTGGTTCTTCCGGGCTCAGTCTGGTGACAGATGTGGTTCATGTGGTCCCTTAGTTCTTGGGACTAATATTTTCCTTGTATCTTTGATTTTCTTCATTTTCCTTTGCTCCAAACTGCTGGGACCAATAGACGTATCTCAGATGGTCGCTCGCAAGCTTTTAGGACCCCAGATGCTACTCACCAAAGTAGGATGTAGAACATTTTCTTTATGGGCTATGTTATGCCAATTGACCTAGATGTCCCCTGAGACCATGGTCCCCATCCCTCAGTCCCAGTAACTCAGTCCCTCAAGGTGTTTGTATGTGTCTAGGAAGCTTCTATGACTTTGCCTTGGTCAAGTTGTACTGACTTCCCTTCTATCGTGGGTTGTCTTTCCTTTCACCAAAGTTAACATTTGTGTACTATCTAGTTAGTGATTTCCCCTCCCCACCCCTCCTCTCCCTCATAGCCATCAAAGTTGTTTTTTTTTTTTTTTTCTCTGTTTATAAACCTTTTCTTGGGTTTTTATAATAGTGGTCTTATACAACATTTGTCCTTGTGTGATTGACTTATTTCACCCAGCATAATGCCCTCCAGATTCATCCATGTTATGAGATGTTTCACAGATTCCTCATTGTTCTTTACTGTAGCATTCGATTGTGAGTATGTACCACAATTTGTTTATCCATTCATTTGTTGATGGGCATCTAGGTTGTTTCTGTCTTTTTGCTATTATGAATAATGCTGTAATGAACATGGGTGTGCATATGTCTATTCGCTTGACGGCTCTTACTTCTCTAGGATATTTTCTTTGGCATTGGATGGCTGGATCATAAGGTATTTCTATTTCTAGCTTTTTAAGGAGGCACCATGTCGTTTTCCAAAATGGTTGTACGATTTTACATTCCCACCAGCAGTGCATAAGAGTTCCAATTTTCCTGCAACCTCTCCAACATTTGTTATTTTCTGTCTTTCTGATTAGTGCGAGTCCTGTTGGGGTGACATGATATCTCACTGTAGTTTTGATTTGCATTTCTCTAATGCTAGTGATCGCGAGCATTTCCTCATGTGTCTGTTAGCTGCCTGAATGTCTTCTTTGGTGAAGTGTCTGTTCATATCCTTTGTCCATTTTTTAATTGGACTATTTGTCTTTTTGTTGAAGAGGTGTGAAGTATTCTATAGATTTTAGAGATTAGACCCTTGTCGGATATGTTGTAGCCAAAAGTTTTTTCCCAGTCTGTAGGTTGTCTTTTTATCTTTTGGTGAAGTCTTTTGATGAACTTAAGTGTTTAATTTTTAGGCACTCCCAGAAGATCTAGTTTATCTTCTGATGTTTGTGCATTGTTAGGTATGGTTTGTATTCTATTTATTCCATGTATTAGGGCACCTAGTGTTGTCCTTATTTTTATTTCCATAATCTTTATCATTTTAGGTTTTGTATTGAGGTCTTTGATCCATTTTGAATTAGTTTTTGTGTATGGTGTGTGGTATGGGTCCTATTTCACTTTTTTACAGATGGACATCCAGTTTTCCCAGAACCATTTGTTAGAAAGACTGTCTTTTCCCCCAGTTAATAACTTTGGTCCTTTGCCAAAGATCAGCTGACCATATGTCTTAGTCATCTAGTGCTGCTGTAACAGAAATACCACAAGTGGATGGCTTTAACAAAGAGAAACTTATTCTCTCACAGTCTAGTAGGCTACAAGTTCAAATTCAGGGCATCAGCTCCAAGGAAAGGCTTTCTCTATCTGTCAGCTCTGGAGAAAGGTCCTTGTCATAAATCTTCTCCTGGTTGAGGAAGTTCTCAGCACAGGGACCCTGGATCCAAAGGACGCACTGTTCTCCTGGCTCTTGTTTCTTGATGGTATAAGGTCCCCACATCTCTCTGCTCCCTTCTCTCTTTTATATCTCAAAAGAAATTGGCTCAAGACACAATCCTATCTTGTAGATTGAGTCCTGCCCCATCAACATAATTGCCACTAATCCCATCTCATCAGCTATCATAAAGATAGGATTTACAACACTTGGGAAAATCACATCAGGTGACAAAATAGTGGATAATCACACAATACTAGGAATCATGGCCTAGCCAAGTTGACAGATATTTTTGGGAGACACAATTCAATCCATGAAACCATAGGTGGATGGATTTACATCTTGGCTCTTGATTCTGTTCCATTGGTCTATGTGTCTGTCATTGTACCAATACCACTCTGTTTTGACTACTGTGGCTGTATAGTAGGTTCTGAGATCAGGTAGTGTGGGGCCTCCTACTTTGTTCTTTTTCTTCAATAATCCTTTGCTTATCTGGGGCCTCTTTTCTTTCAATATAAAGTTGGTGATCAGTTTTTCCATTTTGTTAAAGAATGCTGTTGGTATCTGATTTGGGATTGCATTATATCTGTAGATTACTTTGAGTAGGATTGATATTTTCACAACATTGAATTTTTCGATCCGTGAGCATGGTATGTTTTTCCATTTATGTAGGTCTGTTTTGGTCTCTTGCAATAGCGTTTTGTGGTTTTGTTTATATAGGTTTTTTACGTCCTTGGTTAGATTTATTCCTAAGTATTTTATCTTTTTAGGGGCTATTATAAATGATATTTTCCTGATTTCCTTTTCAAAGTTGGTGTATAGGAATTCAACTGATGTTTTTTTTGTTGATCTTGTATCCTGCTGCTCTGCTGAATCTTTCTATTACTTCCAGTAGTTTTCTTGTGGAATCTTTGGGGTTCTTTATGTATAGGATCATATCATCTTTGAATAGGGATAGTTTTGCTTCTTCCTTTCCAATTTGGATGCCCTTCATTTCTTTTTCTTCCCTTATTGCTCTAGCTAGGACTTCCAGCACAATGTTAAATAAGAGTGGTGATAAAGGGCATCCTTGTCTTGTTCCCGTTCTCAGGCGGAATCTTTCAGCCTCTCCATTGAGAATGATGTTGACTGTTAGTTCTGTATAGACGCCCTTTATTATGTTGAGGAATTTCCCTTCTATTCCTATTTATTTAGAGTTTTTATCAGGAATGGGTGTTGGACTTTGTCAAATGCTTTTTCTGCATGGATTGAAATGATCATGTGATTCTTTTCTTTTGTTCTATTTATGTAGTGGATTTTGTTGATTGATTTTCTAATGTTGAACAATTCTTACATACAAGGTATGAATCCCACTTGGTCGTGGTGCATTATTTTTTTGATACAGTGCTGAATTCTATTGGCTAGAATTTTGTTCAGAACTTTTGCATCTATGGTCATGAGATATATGGTCTGTAATTTTCTTTTTTTGTGGTGTCTTTGCCTGGTTTTTGTGTCACAGTTATGCTGGCTTTGTAGAATGAATTCGAGAGTATTCCTTTTTTTTTTTCCCCCTATGCTCTGAAATAGTTTGAATAGTACTGGCATGAGCTCTTCTCTGAATGTTTGGTAGAACTCTCCAGTGAAGCCATCTGGGCCAGGGCTTTGTTGTTGGTTTTTTTTGGGGGAGAGGGGGTAGTTTTCTTTTATTACCTGTTCAATCTTGTTTCTTGTTATGGGTCTGTTGAGATTTTCTATCTCAGCTTCTGTTAGTTTAGATAGGTAGTGTGTTTCTAAAAATTTGTCTGTTTCCTCTTGACTCTCAAATTTGTTGAAGTATAATTTTTCATACTATTCTGTTATGATCTTTTTTATTTCATCTGGGTCTGTTGTAATGCCCCTCATCTCATTTCTTATTTGGGTTATTTGCTTCCTCTCCTGTTTTTCTTTTGTCAGTTTGGCCAATGGTTTGTTGATTTTGTTGATCTTTTCAAAGAACCAACTTTTGGTCTTGTTGATTCTTTCCACTGTTTTACTGTTCTCTATTTCATTTATTTCTGCTCTAACCGTTATTATAGGAAAATTTGGTGGTGTACTGGTTAAGAATTCAGCTACTAACAAAAAAGTTTGACAGTTTGAATCCACCAGGCGCTCCTTGGAAACCCTGTGGTGTGGTTCTATTCTGTCCTACAGGGTCACTATGAGTTGGAATCAACTGGACAGCAATTTTTTTTTTTTTAACCTTGTTATTTCCATTCTTCTGGTGGCTGTGGGCTTCTTTTGCTGTTCTTCTTCTATTTGTTCGAGTTGTAGGGCTAACGTTTTAATTTTGGCCCATTCTTCTTTTTTGATGTGTGAGTTTATTGCTAGGAATTTTTTATTCCCTCTGTGATTTCTTCTACTAGCCAGTTGTTTTTAACTAAGGTATTATTCAGTTTCCGTGTAATACATACCGTTCTTCAACTTGCTTTTTTAAACTTTTTTTATTGTACTTTAAATGAAGGTTTACAGAACAAATAGTTTCTCATTCAACAGTCAGTATACATATTGTTTTATGACTTTGATTAACTACCCCATGACATGTCAACACTCTCCCTTCTCGACCTTGGAGGATATTTATTTTATTTTATTTTTTGATGAAAATATGTATAGCCAAAGATACAGCATTTCAAAAATTTCTACATGCACAATTCAGTGACATCGATTATATCCTTCCAGTTGTGCTGCTGTTCTCACTAACCTTTTCCAAATTATTCCATCACCATTATCTTCAACTCACTGTCCCCTAGGCTTCCCATCAAACCTTTTGAGTTGCTTTTGTCAATTTGATCTCCCATAGATAATT